GCTGGTGGGTGGGTTTGTTACTTAAGGGGAGGGGACCTTCAGCCCCCCCACCCCCAGCACCCCCCGCAACACAAGAGAGCTTTAAAAGAAACCGGAGGGTGAAAACTCTTTAGCAAATATCCATCAAATGACAGGAGAATATTTGCAGCCCAGGGGGGACAGGAGGGGTCTGCAATCATAAACACTCAGAGACATTTGGACCAGTTTCCCACAGAAAACACAGGGACAGCCACAAAACCTGGGTGGGTGTGGCCAACTCGACATCACTCATTCCCACCCAGTAACATGACTATCTCTCTCTCCTTCTCTCTCTCTCTCTTCTTCTCTCTTTCCCTCTTTCTCTGTCTCTATTTCTCTTTCCTCTCCTCTTTCTTTCCCCTTTCTCTCTCTTCCCACATCTGTCTGTCTGTCTTTCCTTCTATCTCTGTCCCTCTCTCTCTTTCACACTTTCACTTCCCTCCCCTCTACCTCATGTCCCTCTTTCCTTCTCTCTCTTTTCCCCATCTGTCTCTGTGTCTCGTCTCTCTTCTTCTCTCTCTCCCTCTTTCTCTGTCTCAATTTCTCTTTCCTCCCCTCTTTCTTTCCCCTTTCTCTCTCTCTTCCCGCATCTGTCTGTCTCTTTCCTTCTGTGCCTCTGTCTTTCTCACTTTCACACTTTCCTCCCCTCTATCTCTTGTCCCTCTCTCTCTCTTTCCTTCCCTTTCTCTCTCTTCTCCCCATCTGTCTCTGTGTCTCGTCTCTCTTCTTCTCTCTCTCCCTCTTTCTCTGTCTCTATTTCTCTTTCCTCTCCTCTCTTTCCCCTTTCTCTCTCTCTTCCCGCATGTCTCTCTTCTCTCTGTGTCTCTGAGTCTTTCTCACTTTCACACTTTCCTCCCCTCTATCTCTTGTCCCTCTTTCTCTTCCCCCCTTTCTCTCACTCTCCCCCCTCTCTGTCTGTCTCTGTGCCCCTTGTCTGTCTCCCCCTTTCCTTCCCTCTCCCTTTCTTCCCCCATCTCTCTTTCTCTGACTCTCTCTCTTCCCCACCCCTCTCTCTGGAAGGAACCCCTGAACTGGTGTTGGGTGTTGGGACGTCTGGAGGCCGACGAGCCCAGGAGCAGCGCACCTACAATCAGCTGGTCCTCAGAGAGCCAAAGACCACCGGGGGCTCTGCAGGAAAAGCAAGTCCCCTGCGGGAGGCTCCTCATCATAAGGGGCTCAAGAAGGAGGGGACCCCGTCTCCCCCATTGTGAAGCCTGCAAAACTTCACTGCGCTGCGCAAGGCGCTGCGGGAGCAACCTCTTTGCTCAGGAATGGACATTCTGGACTCCGTCGGGGTCGTAAGCCGAGGACTACCTGTCCCATGAGAGTCCCAAAACGCCCCTCGGCGCCAGCGAACCCAACATACGTATTTCCGCCTCGCTTCCTGAAGGGCGTCCGATTCTTCCAATTTCTTGGCTTCGTCTCGGAATTTCTGGATGCTCTCCTTCATCTCCTTGTTCTTGGCCAGTTCCTGCTTGATGTTCTCCACGAAGCCAGAGATGAAACCTTTCCGATGGCCCGAGGAAGAACATCTGGACTAAAGAAAAGGTCACAATGACACCTTGGAAGCAAGCAACAAAGCCAGGCCTGCCTCCTGCGCTCGGTGGCACCCTCCGCCCAAGGCCTACGGGCTCAAGGCGGGTTTTTCCACGGAGAAACATCTCAGC